TCAGTGGTGTGCGAGTCAGTGGTGTGCGAGTCAGCGGTGTGAGAGTCAGTGTGAGAGTCAGTAGTGTGAGTCAGTAGTATGAGTCAGTAGTATGAGTCAGTGGTGTGCGAGTCAGTGGTGTGCGAGTCAGTAGTGTGAGAGTCAGTGGTGTGCGAGTCAGTGTGTGCGAGTCAGTGGTGTGCGAGTCAGTGGTGTGCGAGTCAGTGGTGTGCGAGTCAGTGGTGTGAGAGTCAGTAGTGTGAGAGTCAGTAGTGTGCGAGTCAGTGGTGTGCGAGTCAGTAGTGTGCGAGTCAGTAGCGTGAGAGTCAGTAATGTGAGAGTCAGTAATTTGAGAATCAGTAGTGTAAGAGTCAATAGTGTGAGTCAGTAGTGACAGTAGCGTGAGAGTCAGTAGCGTGAGAGTCAGTAGAGTAGAGTGAGAGTCAGTAGTGTGAGTCAGTAGTGTGAAATCAGTAGTGTGAGTCAGTAGTGAGTCGTAGTGTAGTGTGATAGTAGTGCGATAGTCAGTAGTGTGCTAGTCAGTAGTGTGTGAGTCAGTAGTGTGAATCAGTAGTGCGAGTCAGTAGTGTGTGAGTCAGTAGTGTGAGTCAGTAGTGTGAGAGTCAGTAGTGTGAGAGTCAGTAGTGTGAGAGTCAGTGGTGTGCGAGTCAGTAGTGTGAGAGTCAGTAGTGTGATAGTAGTGTGTGAGTCAGTAGTGTGAGAGTCAGTAGTGTGAGAGTCAGTAGTGTGAGAGTCAGTAGCGTGAGAGTCAGTAGTGTGAGAGTCAGTAGTGTGAGAGTCAGTAGTGTGAGAGTCAGTAGTGTGAGAGTCAGTAGTGTGAGAGTCAGTGTGATAGTAGTGTGATAGTCAGTAGTGTGTGAGTCAGTAGTGTGAGAGTCAGTAGCGTGAGTCAGTGTGTGAGATCAGTAGTGTGAGTCAGTAGTGTGGAGTCAGTAGTGTGAGTCATGTGGTGTTTTGAGAGTCAGTAGTGTGAGAGTCAGTAGTGTGTGAGTCAGTAGTGTGAGAGTCAGTAGTGTGAGTCAGTCGTGTGAGTCAGTAGTGTGAGTCAGTAGTGTGAGTCAGTAGTGTGAGTCAGTAGTGTGAGAGTCAGTAGTGTGAGAGTCAGTAGTGTGAGAGTCAGTAGTGTGAGTCAGTAGTGTGAGAGTCAGTAGTGTGAGAGTCAGTAGCGTGTGAGTCAGTAGTGTGAGAGTCAGTAGTGTGATAGTAGTGTGAGTCAGTAGTGTGAGAGTCAGTAGTGTGAGAGTCAGCAGTGTGAGAGTCAGTGGATGCAGGTTTCACCCAGTTTAAGTCCGTGTTGTCAAGGGTCGCTTGGTAATAGCTGTGGTCGGGTGTCAGGGAGATCATAGTTGTACGTACCTTCGTTCATTCAGTGCTGATGCCGGCAAAGGGCTCTTGAATCAGGATTGGGGCCATCAACTTGTTGTTTTCCCTTAGTGTGAAGTACTATTAATTTACGAGTTGCTCCCTGATGGGTGATGATGATCTATAATAATTAATAATTATAATAATAATTATTATTAGCAAATTATTATTCGGTAGGAAACAGTAGCATCAAAATAGGGTTAATTTTCTTTATTTCATAGCCTTAGAGTTATATTTTGGTCAGTATTTTCAGATCAATAATGCTGCTGGGAGTGGCGGGTGATTTCCTGACAGCAAGTGTCGGGGCAAGTAGGTTCTAAATCCTCTTTTAAAGTTTAATGTCCATTGATCACCCTATGGGATTATACTTGTGTCATATATTATTACAGATCATACATGGGCTACATGCTATTCGTATCAATAATTTATGTCCACTATATTGTTATTGTAGATATACATATGGGACAGAGAAGAATATTGATTTTCATCAGTACGTGAGATAATGCAGGTTTGCTTATATAAGTATATAGAGCAAGTTGATTCCAGATTTGAAGTCGAGATTGAGATTAGCAAAGTCAGGACTTTAGGGTTATTGGAAAGCACATGAATTCAAGGAATTGTATATTTATGAGTCAATGTTCCATTAAAATTTACAGCATAATGTTTTTTAAAACATTTTTTCATATGTAAAAATAAAGCTGGAGAATGTTTCAAGGACATTAAGCTAATATATACGGGAAGTAGGGAAGATTCAGTAAATTTGAGCATTTGTGTTGAGGTTATGACATCACTTGTATCTCTCTGAGAGTCACTAACAGCAGTGGTTCATCAGGTTGGATAACAGGTGGTGTCTGTTGAAGACACTAACAGTAGTGGGTCCATCATATTTTGGTACTAACAGTGGTGTGTCTATGAGAGAATATAACAGTAGTGATCATCATGTTGGAACTAACAGTTGGTGTCTGTCTGAAGTCACTTAACAGTAGTGGTTATCATGTTGTATAACAGTGGTGTCTGTCAGAAGACCTAACGTAGTGGTTCCATCATGTTGGTACTAACAGTGGTGTGTCTCTGAAGAAACTAACAGTAGTGATCCAACATGTTGGAACTAACAGTGGTGTCTGTCTGAAGACACTAACAGTAGTGGTCCATCATGTTGGTACTAACAGTGGTGAGTCTGAAGAAACTAACAGTAGTGATCCATCATGTTGGAACTAACAGTGGTGTCTGTCTGAAGACACTAACAGTAGTGGTCCATCATGTTGGTACTAACAGTGGTGTCTCTCTGAAGACACTAACAGTAGTGGTCCATCATGTTGGTACTAACAGTGGTGTGTCTCTGAAGAAGCTAACAGTAGTGATCCATCATGTTGGAACTAACAGTCGTGTCTGCCTAAAGAAATCAACAGTAGTCTTCTATCATTTTGGGATTAAAATATCCCATATTGGATGGCAAGAAGTCCAGGCACAAATAAAGAAAGTGCATTTTCAGGGACATACGACAACCCAAGGCTAACCTGATGCCTGGTCACAGACCGGGCCGCGGGGGCGTTGATCCCCGAAACCCTCTCCAGGTAGCTACAGGTATAACTTTCTATCATGTTTTGAACTAACTCGGTAAAATTGTATCCTCTGTGCCTTCCTTGGAAATTCTGGATAACCTGTTTGGCAGCTTCTCATACAGCCAGCTCCAGTGGAGCCAGTTAACAGTTCGCGTATTTGCGACCCAACAAATATTCCAGCCTTAAATTTTCCATCAGTTAAAACTCCTCCCAATTTTCCTTTAAGGTAATGAAATCCTCCATCTTCATCATCCATAGCCTTCACAAGAATTTTTTATTTGGCTCAACTTTATAAACACTGATGGAGGAAATATCTTTTGAGGATGCACTGGTCACGTATGTTGCATGTTGAATTTTCCTGCAATAGAGATTTTTCTTGCCGACCATTCTTTGATCTTGTAGTGGCTAGCATCGTCACTACTCCACAAACAAGGGAAGCACATGTGGTTTGTGTAACCAAGTTGGAGACCAAGTATTAACTATCACCTTTTGGTCCCCATATATATTCCACTTGTGCTCATTGTATTTTGTTAGTCTGAGTAGAATTTCTGTGAACCTGCATATTTCTTTTAATGTCACAGCATGAACCACTGGCATAGATGAATTTTCGTTGCCATTGTGCAGGAGCACTGCTTTCAAACTGACCTTGATAGAATCGATGAATAGTTTCCATTCATCAGTATGGTGTTCATAGCTCAGTTGCTTCATAAGACATCAATGCGGAAACACACACACCATTCTTAGTGTGATAGACTGCACGAAAATTAGATAATTTTGTTCTTTCTGGTGAAAGGTTCTACTGATGTAAGCGCGACCCAAGCAGTTCTTTCTTCTGTTTTGATAAGTCAAGGTTCTTGACAAGGTCATTTAACTCCTGTACAGTGATTAAGTGAGACTGTTTCCAGGTCTCAGATTCTGGTGGTTCATAAAGATCAGTATTATCAGTTTCTTCACTACTGATCACCTTCAGTGTCATAAACAAGAGATGGAACAGGTACAGCAGTGTTCTCACTATGTGGCACAGGTTATAATACTGACTCACAGTCTGAATATGTTATCTTTTTATTGTTCTTCTTCGAGAAAGGGGCCACATTAACCATTTATTCAGGTGATTCTTCTGTTCTCCCAAAACCACTGGAACTCCAAATGGCAGTGATGTAAGTTTCCCATTCAACTACTGTGTTAGTGCAGAGGTACAAACAGTAGAGGATATGTGTGGAGTCCATGATTTATCTCGAGTACCTCTCTGACAACTAAAGTAGTGTTTGTATGTAATGTTCACAAGAGTTGCTATATTTTTAGTTGATCACAGCAAAAGCTGTCTGTGCTGTCATCCTCATATAATAGAGCAATATAATAGAGCAATTGAATTTGAATATAAATATGGATATGTGTATGTAGCAGAGAAATGCGATTTAAGCAATATAAACAATGTACACAATCAATAGTAACCTTTAGTAAATAAATCTGAACATGGGACGACTAGAGCACAACTGACACTCTGTGACTCTTCCTGACATAGACGTGATGACTAGGATTCATGTTTATGTATGTAAGCAGACAACCGCCGGGTTTCCTCAGAGGTTTATTCATGCTTATACATGTAACACAGAAATACATGTGTTGTTAATATTTTATGTGATGGGTTAATTCTGACTTCAGATTCAGTTTCAGCTTTGTTAAACCTTAAAAATATTCATTTATACAAGTAGTAAATATATTGTTGTCCAGTGTAATACATGTCTATTAAAGATTTATTGTCAGTTATAGGAGACGATTTCGTCACTTTTTTTCATATGTTGGTCAAGATATGAAAATAGTGACTATATACGCTTAAGTGTTGTATACACTGTTGTTTAGTATTACTGGGATGTCAAGGAAGGAGAGTTTACCTTCAGTTTCCCATTTCTGTTTGAATTTAATTGTAGAATGCAAATTGTTGATGTATCTAAGGACTTAAAATGTTACCTTTCTGGCCACACTGAGATGTCAGCCACATCTCGACCAAACTAGTTTAAAACTGCCTGATCAGGTTTGGTCGGGATAAGTATCTGTCTCTTTCCTCTCTGAGTAACACTCCCTCGTTCCCTACAGTCGTCTTTCCTACGGAGAAGACGGACACAGGTGCAGGGCAAGCCACGGGTGTGGCAGACAGTCCTCAAGGCAAAGATGTGGTAGACGCCGTGTTACAGGCACTGACAGTGGATGAGCGTCAGGCCAGTAATACCAACAATGTCCTCAGTAACTCCTGCTTCACTCCAGACGGCCAGAGTGGTGAGTACATCTCCTCACACTGAGACTCATGTTTGACTCCGCTCCTGAGAGCTAGAAGTTGAACTTCTAGCATTAGAAAGGTTGGTTTGTCCGTTGAAATAATCTATGCATAGTTTGTATTGTCTGGTTCTGCATTATCTCTGTTTGCTTCTTGTTCGTGAGGGATTTATGAATTAGTTCTGGTGCACAGATGTCATTGATGAATGGAACTGCATGGGGGTAATACTTTCTCAAGATACTGAGGTATTAGTACGTCATAATTAATACTAGAGTGTGGGTTTGTCATGGCTTTCATGACCTTGATTCTAGGAAGGGTTCTTGAGCTGGTATACTCTGCTGTTTCAGAAACTTTAGCCTTTTGTCAATTCCAACATAAATGTATTGGTAACAACTGGTTACCAATACCTACCAGTAAGTAAGTACCCAGGTACCTATTTAGTGCTAGGCGAACCGTACCGGGGATTGAACCACGGACACGCAAAGTGTGAAGTGAGAGCGTTGCTTACCAAGCCACGGACACCATTCCTATTCAGCGTCGTTTTCCTGCATCATCACCGCTTTTTATTTCTCTAATGAAATCATTAAATCCCAATTACTTCCAAGTGGTGTCTACAAGGTTCGTGGCGGCGTTTAGTGGCTTTCCCAGAAACAACAATGGACGAGATCATCTCTATAGCCAAGTAACTTTGTGTCAGTTTGAAAGTGGAGTTGGGCTAGTTGTTGTATTAAGTTTTTAGGGTAAAAAGGTAGGACCGAGGTTTTCTCCATGTTTGGTACCATTTTCACGGGTTTGTAAGTGGAATTATGTCCTGAAAATTAACTCAGGTCTGCCTGTTCAGAAGACGTGTTTTAATATCAGGCCAGAAGGCTGCCTGGAACTTCCTTTGAACCAGTTAGGAAAGGATGGTGGTAGATTTCTTGCCTGTTGCGACTTGGGTTAAACAAAATATGTGCAACGTTTTGATACCTGTATGATAATGCGCATCTTCTTCCATGTGTCTCATTTTCATTACTGTTACAGTATACTCTGATAGTACCTACGTCTCATATAAAGGAAAACATTGTTCTTGGGTGGACCAGGTCTCCAATGCAATCGGTTTACTATTATGATTCCTACAGTTGTCAAAACTGATTCAAGAAATTAGTCTTAGTTCACCAGGCTTTATTAATTTTAGAAGTGGTGCTGGGGGCAAGTTTGTTCTCTATGTTTTGTTAATAATAGACGGGGTTGATTCCTATCGTTTAACATCAGTATGTGATAACATGTAGGGATTCCATCATTGTTCGAGGCAGTGCCGTGTCTCAGTTTCTTGGCCTTGTTTTTTTAGTTCTTGTATGGTGAGTTGATGTGTAACAGGTCAGCTTTCTCAAGTGTGGGTCTGGCTTTTTTTCTGTCGTTGAGTAGGAGACATAACCGCAAGTGTTGGTGTGTCCTGAGGAAGTTCTCTGGATGCTGCTGTTGAGGTGATTACAGTAGCTCCACAAAGCCTGGAGTTTACTTAGAGAGGGTTTCGGGGTCAACACCTCCGCGGCCCGGTCTGAGACCAGGCCTCATGGTGGATCAGGGTCTGATCAACCAGGCTGTTACTGCCGGCCGCACGCAAGCTGACGTATGAACCACTGCCCGGTTGGTCAGGTACTGACTTTAGGTGCATGTCCAGTGCCTTTTTGAAGACAGCCAGCGGTCTATTGGTAATCCCCCTTATGTATGCTGGGAGGCAATTGAACAGTCTTGGGCCCCGGACACTTGTTGTGTTGTCTCTCAGTGTACTCGAGGCGCCCCTACTTTTCATCGGGGGAATGTTGCATCTCCTGCCGAGTATTTTGCTTTCGTATGGAGTGATTTTCGTGTGCAGGTTTGGCACCAATCCCTCCAGGACCTTCCAAGTGTTTACTATCATGTATCTCTCTCGCCTACGTTCGAGGGAATGCAGATCAAGAGACTTCAACCGTTCCCAGTAGTTTAGGTGCCTTATCGCACTTATGTGTGCCGTGAAAGTTCTTTGTACACTCTCCAGGTCAGCAATGTCGCCAGCCTTGAAGGGGGCCGTTAGTGTACAGCAGTATTCCAGCCTAGAGAGCACAAACGATTTGAAGAGAATCATCATGGGCTTGGCGTCCCTTGTTTTGAAGGTTCTCATTACCCATCCTATCATTTTCCTAGCGGATGAGGTAGGTACATTGTTGTGGTCTTTGAAGGCGAGATCCTCTGACATTATCACTCCCAGGTCCTTCACATTACTTTTCCGCTCTATTGTATGGTTAGAATTTGTGGTATACCCTGACACATTTTTATTTTCTTCCAGTTTTCCATATCTGAGTAGTTGAAATTTCTCCTCATTGAACGTCACATTGTTTTGAGTGGCCCATTCGAAGATTTGGTTGATGTCCGCTTGGAGTCTTCGATGGAGGTCACTGCCATAGTAATCCAGGTGTCATCTGCAAAGGAAGACACGGAGCTATGGCTTACATCTCTGTCTATGTCAAAAATGAGGATAAGGAATAGAATGGGAGCGAGTACTGTGCCTTGTGGAACAGAGCTTTTTACCATGGCTGCCTGGGACTTTACTCTGTTTACTATTACTCTTTATGTTTTATTTGTCAGGAAGTTGTAGATCCATCTACCAACTTTTCCCGTTATTCCTTTAATCACTGGGATATTTTTGCAGCCTTATTGGCGATGGCTGTATTAGCCAATACTATATTTCAGACAAAGTAGTGTTTCATAATAATAATAATAATAATAATAATAATAATTTTATTTCAGCATGATGCAGTTTGTATAGAGATGGGTGACATGTAGTTGCTGTGCATGCAGAAAGTCCATAGTTATGCAGAGCATTTCGAATAAAGCACACCATTCAGACCAAATATGCGGGGTTTTTTTTCTGTCTGGAGACACGATGTACTTCTTACTACTTCTCTCATTAAAGATATATTTGCCTCTGTTGGATAACACTCGTACAGCTTACGGTGTATGTTAACTCGTTGTATATGTCCCCGCTTATCTTCATTGTAGAACTATCAGTCCCTTCTATACATGTCACTTGTCTTTTGGGAATTACGCATAGGCTATATGTACCTTACGGTGTATATGTCCTGTACTCTTGACTAGTGGTAAAGAAGTGAAATGCATAATTAACAACTCGTGTAATGGATAAGCCGTACACCCAAGTGACTGAACAACCTGGGGATTATAGTCTTGGTGACCTGTAGGATCGCTGTGGTAAGTTCTTCAACTGTATCAAGACCCTCTCGTAGTGTATGCTGTGTACAGTGGAGTTCCAGATTGGAAGTTACCACCCCAGACGACGCCATTGTGTCTATATTTCCACGGGCGGAGATCAGGAGTGGACTAAAATGTATATAAAACAATAGAAAGAAAAGAAGAGAAAAGAAAGGTAGGGTTAAATTCTCTCAATTAAGAATATATGTTGACCTTTCTCATACTCCAGTTTGGAAACATTATTGGTGATAGTGGGTGTCGTGTAACAGTTATGTTAGCTACCATAACTGGGTAGTAATAATGGTATAATTGCCGACAAAATGTTAGGGAAAAGGACACAGATGCAACATCATGTACAACTAATGTAACATTTTATGGTGGCAACGTTTCGCTCTCCAGGACCCTTGTCTAGCCGTTACAAACAGTAACGGCTTGACAAAGCTCATGGAGAGCGAAACGTTACCTCAATAAAATGTCACATTAGTTGCATCTGTGTGCATATACCTAACACTAAATGGTAGCTCGTGGTAGTTTTGAGACTCTCTTACCGCGGGTTCAAACCCCACCCGTGGTGTTGTTTATGTATGTGGCATTCCTGGAAATAAATAGTATAAAATACCGACACAATGGAAATATAAACACATATGCAGTATAATGTGATCCTTTATTGACAACGTTTCGCCAACACTCGGGTGATCTTCTCAATCGCATTCGCAATATCAACATCAGGAACAAGAAACTTTCCAGCCTTGATGTAACTTCCCTATTCACGAAAGTACCTACTACACAAGCCATCGATCTCTTGCGCAGGAAAATTGACGATTAGCTTGATCTTCCTATTCCAGCCAGCGATTTCATCGACCTTGTTGAACTATGTGTTGGCTTTACGTGTTTCTCTTTCGAAAATCACCTCTTTCAGCAGACTTTTGGACTACCCATGGGTTCGCCACTCAGTGCCGTCCTGGCGAACCTATACATGGAACATCTGGAAGCCGAGCGTTTTTCCACCATTATTCCTTCGTCTGTCACCTGGCTCCGTTATGTCGACGACATGCTCCTCACAACTCCCAGACACTTCAACGTTCAAGCTCTCCAAGACAAGCTCAACCAGGTCGAGCCCTCAATCCAGTTCACACTTGAAGAAGAAGTCGACAACACTTCCTTTCCTTGATGTTCTTCTCCGCAAAGCTGACCATGAACTTCGTTTTAAAGTCTATCGAAAACCCACCAACCAAAACGATCTTCTCCACTTCTACTCTCACCACGGCACCAAAACTAAAGTGGTGTAATTATAGGCTTTTTCCTACGCACACTCAGACTCTGCAGCAATGAGTTCCTTGGGGAAGAATGCACTATAATTGAACAAGTATTTTCCAAACTTCACTATCCTCGTCACTTCATCAGAGACTGCAGACGACGGGCATTAAATATCTTCAACACACCCAGAGAAGACTGAACATTAAAATGGTATAAAATACCGACAGGTTGTTAGGTAATAAAGATACCTAACTGTTGCATATGTGTCTTACCTAACACCCAGAGAAGACACTGCCGAGAACAGATACATAGTCCTTCCCACGAACTCCATTGCCAAACACGTTTCCAACATTTTTTCCAATACCTCATTCCAGGTATCCACCTCCACAACCACGACCATCAAGGACATTACCAGTAATAGACAGGACAAGCTTCCATCCTCTGCAGGGGTATACATAATCCCTTGTAATGACTGCAGCAAATTATACGTGGGCGAAACATCAAGAGACCTCCAAACACGTATTTCAGAACACCAATACGCAAGCAGGTCTGACGATCCAAGGAATGCCTGTGTACAACGCCGTAATTCACACAACCATTTAATCAATTGCAGAAACTCAAGACTTATCGTCAGAGAAGACAACACTCAATACCGAAGAATCCTGGAATCATCGCTTATCTCTATATCCAACAACTTCAACCAGAACAACGGCTTCTATAACATAGCTGAACCACTTGCCAAGAAACTTCTTCATCGCTATCCCACATAAGAACATAGGAATGGAGGAACACTGCAGAAGGTCTACTCATATACTTATCCAATCTCTCTTCCAAGCTACCCAAGATTTTAGACTCTATAACCCCACTCGGTAGATCATCACTTGCACCATTCTCCACCTGACCCAGCATTCTCAATCTGACTATGAACATCAAAATGGTATACAATACCGACAGGTTGGTAGGTAAGACACATAGGCAACAGTTAGGCAACTTTATTCCGAAACGTTTCGCCTACACAGTAGGCTTCTTCTGTGTAGGCGAAACGTTTCGGAATAAAGTTGCCTAACTGTTGCCTATGTGTCTTACCTATCAATCTGACTATAAATACTCGCGTACCTTCCACCCAGGTAGATCTGTTTGTGACTTGAAAAATCCCACTGTGTGGGCGATACGTTGTCAATAAAGGATCACATTATACTGAATGTGTGTTTATATTTCCATGTGGTATTCCTGTACTGGCAACGTGGGTTACATTCGCATATTTGTGTTATTTGTGGTATTGACGTATTTGAAGATTTGTTTAGTGCATTCATGTGTCAGAAGATTTATCTGCTATTTTTTTGGTATGTGATACATGTGTGTGTGTTACAGGGAGATGTGTATCCCTGAGTCTGTGTCCACGCTACCAGTCATTCTTCCCACATATAAGGAACCCTAACGTCTTCGCCTTCTTCAGGGCTCGCATATGCAGGTAAATGTACACTGTACTCGCATAGTTGTACTCACTTGTACTGATTTGTACTTCTACTGAGTTTTACTCTTCTACTGAGTTTTACTTTCTTCTGTTGAGATGCACTCACTTGTACTAAGTTGCACTCACTAGTACTGAGTTGTACTCACTTCTATTGAGATGCACTCACTTGTATTGAGTTGTACTCACTAGTACTGAGTTGTACTCACTAGTGCTGAGTTGTATTCACTAGTAATGAGTTGTACTCACTTTTACTGAGTTGTATCATTTCTACTGAGCTGTACTCGCTTCTACTGAGTTGTACTCGCTTCTACTGAGTTGTACTCACTTCTACTGAGTTATACTCACTTCTACTGGGTTATACTCACTTCTACTGAGTTGTACTCACTTCTACCTGACTGCACTTACATAACTATTTCTGCGCGAGTTTAGGGGCTAGATACTTCAAATGACGGATTCTTTACCCGAGGAATTGAAACTACTCTCCCTTTTCCTCGAATCAAACTTATTTCATCACATTCTCAGACAATATATCACTTAGGGGTTTAGTGCTTTCCAATGAATAACAACGAAAAGTTATCAGGTTTAATTCTACGAAGAGGAGGCTGTTTAATTAAGGATCAAGAGTACCCCTTTTTTTCTTCTTCCTAATAGTTTATAGGGCTGTTGACACCTTACCCCTCATGGAAGGTTCCTTGATGTTGGTGAGGGGCTCTTGATTTAGGGAATTGGATCTGTGCTCCAGTTCCCCGAATTAAGCCTGAATGCCTTCCACATCCCCCCTCCCCTGGGCGCTGTATAATCCTGCGGGTTTAGCGCTTCCCCCTTGATTATAATAATAATGTTGACACCTTACGTCGTGTCTTCTTAGTGGTTTATAAGGGCCACTGACAGTTTATCCTGTATCTTGTAATAAAGTTGGTAGAATTACCGACAATATGTAAAGTAAAAGGACACAAGTGCAACTAATGTGACATTTATTGTGGCAACGTTTCGCTCTCCAGGAGCTTTATCAAGCCATTACAAACAATACATGGACACAGAGGGTATATAAAGGCTCAGAGTGAGGTGAATACTAGTGAGGTACCATTTCGATGTTCACTAGTGGTAGTAGTAGTAGTAGTAGTAGTGGTAGTGACAAAAGTAATACAATATGGTAGAGCAATTAATTCGTACATGAGTAAAAGGATATAAAAGCTATTACTTGGGTAACATAAAAATAGGTTGGACAAATATAAACTGGAATGAGGCAGCTTGTTTCAGTGTTCACTCTCTGTGCTTTGTGTAGTATAACAGGAGAGACTATGTGATGGCAGGGTTTACTGTTTTCAGGAGGATTCTTGCTAAGACTTCGGAGATGGTGAAGCTGCCGTTGTTTTGTTTAATTGTATTCGAAACAGCGATCAGTGCTGATTCAAGGCACTTGCGTGTGCGGAAATTAGTTTCTTTTATCACTAATTGGGCGTCTCTGAATTTCATAAGATGATTGGTGGAATTTCGGTGTTGTACACAGGCGTTGTTTAAGTTGTCGTTCCTACATGCGTATATGTGTTCATTGAGGCGGGTGTCGAGGTTTCTTGCTGTTTCACCTACGTAGATCTTGTCACAGCCTCCACAGGGTATAGTGTAAACTCCTGCATTGACTGGTTCGTGGTGCTTGGGTTTTGTCCTGGTTAGATCCTTTATTGAAGTGGTAGAAGCGATGGCGACTCTGGTGTTAGCTTGTGAAAGTAATTTTGAGACGTTTAGTCGCCATCGCTTCTACCACTTCAATAAAGGATCTAACCAGGACAAAACCCAAGCACCACGAACCAGTCAATGCAGGAGTTTACACTATACCCTGTGGAGGCTGTGACAAGATCTACGTAGGTGAAACAGCAAGAAACCTCGACACCCGCCTCAATGAACACATATACGCATGTAGGAACGACAACTTAAACAACGCCTGTGTACAACACCGAAATTCCACCAATCATCTTATGAAATTCAGAGACGCCCAATTAGTGATAAAAGAAACTAATTTCCGCACACGCAAGTGCCTTGAATCAGCACTGATCGCTGTTTCGAATACAATTAAACAAAACAACGGCAGCTTCACCATCTCCGAAGTCTTAGCAAGAATCCTCCTGAAAACAGTAAACCCTGCCATCACATAGTCTCTCCTGTTATACTACACAAAGCACAGAGAGTGAACACTGAAACAAGCTGCCTCATTCCAGTTTATATTTGTCCAACCTATTTTTATGTTACCCAAGTAATAGCTTTTATATCCTTTTACTCATGTACGAATTAATTGCTCTACCATATTGTATTACTTTTGTCACTACCACCACTACTACTACTACTACTACCACTAGTGAACATCGAAATGGTACCTCACTAGTATTCACCTCACTCTGAGCCTTTATATACCCTCTGTGTCCATGTATTGTTTGTAATGGCTTGATAAAGCTCCTGGAGAGCGAAACGTTGCCACAATAAATGTCACATTAGTTGCACTTGTGTCCTTTTACTTTACATCCTGTATCTTCTTAGTGGTTTATAAGGGCCACTGACAGTTTATCCTGTATCTTCTTAGTGGTTTATAAGGGCCACTGACAGTTTATCCTGTATCTTCTTAGTGGTTTATAAGGGCTACTGACAGTTTATGTTGTATCTTCTTAGTGGTTTATAAGGGCCACTGACAGCTTACATCGTATCTTCTTAGTGGTTTGCATGGGCCACTGACAGCTTACATTGTGTCTTCTTAGTGATTTATAGTGCCACTGACAGCTTACATTGTGTCTTCTTATTGATTTATAGTGCCACTGACAGCTTATGTTGTATCGATCCAAGTACTTCACTTCCCTGAAGGGACTTGGAGTATTGCAATATTTAACAACACAATAAAAAGGGTATTAGGGAAAGTGCTTCTAAAAATGACATACTGACGATGTTAAGAAAAGACTTCGAATGCAATAAAAGTATTGATTGGGGCAACGTTTTATTCATCTTCACACATTTTCGCTCATTTTAATTACCTTTCTGCAATCTTTGGCCACACCAGTTTTATGATTTAGTTTCCTCAGCCACACCAGTTTAGTTTTCTCAGTCACACCAGTTTAGTTTCCTCAGTCACACCAGCTTAGTTTCCTCGGTCACACCACTTAGGTTTCCTCAGTCACACCAGTTTAGTTTCCTCAGTCACACCACTTTGGTTTCCTTAGTCACACCAGTTTAGTTTCACCAGTCACACCACTTTGGTTTCCTCAGTCACACCAGTTTAGTTTCCTCAGTCACACCAGCGTTATGATTTAGTTTACAACGCTAATATATTCACTCACGAAATCATAATAACACTATTGTAAACAAATCAGGCCACCTGAACCAGTGGTTAACTCACTGGCCTGTGAGTTTTAAAACTCACTTGCCATGGGTTCAAATACCATCGGTTCCCTGATTTCTCATTATCTTCTTTAAACCATAATATCGCACTTGTTCTATCAGTTAATTTGGATGTGGAAAAAGACACTTATGTACAGTTCAGGACACTTAATATAGGAAACGTTTCGCCACGAGTGGCTTCTTCAGTTCATTAGGACTGAAGAAGCCACTCGTAGCGAAACGTCCTGAATTGTACATAAGTGTTTTTTTCCACATCTTATCGGTATCAACATACCATTTCTAAGTTAATTTGGAGCTGACTCTTCCAGAGTGCTCCCTGGAACGCTCTACTTCTGCTGCTCCAATGGAGGATTTAGCCAGTCTCAAGCCATGACGGCTCCCAGTCTCTCACAGCGACAACCAACGATTATCTTAGCTCCTAATCCCTCACAGCGACAAACCTCGAGCATCACAGCAGCATCCAGTCCTTCCCAGCAGCTTCCGGCATCCATCACCGCCGTTCAAGGCATCTGCGGCATTCCGACTGGAGACAGGGTCGTTGGAGGTCTGGAAGTAGCCTACGTAAGTTATTGATCTTTGCTATATGTTATAGGTCAAGGGGAAATGGGATCTAGAGTAGGAAAGATTAGCTCCAGTTCGTTGAATCAAGAACCCTTCATCAGCACCAGAGCACAAATAGTTATAACTATGACCATAAATTTTAAAGGGGTGGACCAGTAAACCAGCAGAAGGCCTCGGTCAGATGACCAAAAGTGTTTCTTGACCCCCGTCAAGAAACACTTGTCCTGTTTCCTGGCGAACCTTACCTAACCTCCATGGAAGAATTTGTACTATAAATTAGGAACCTAGTAAACAACAGAAAGTAGGTATGAGGGTGTCTGATGACCTGGTAAACAACAGAAGATAGGTACCAGGGTATCTGATGACCTGGGAAACAATAGAAGGTAGGTATCAGTGTGTTTTACGAACTGGCAAACAATTGAAAGTAGGTACAAGGGTGTCTGACGACTTGCCAAGCAATAAAAGGTAAGTACTAGGGTATGTAATGACTTATGAAACAATAGAAGGTAGGTACCCAGGTGTCTGACGACCTCTGAAACAGGAAGGTAGGTACCAAGGTGTCTGACGACTTGGGAAGTAACACAAGGTAGGTACTAGGATGTCCTGTTGTCGGTGTTTTGGCCCTTGATCCAAGCATTTGGATCCGCTGTGGCTTTCCTCGGATCAGACATGATTGCCTGTCATACACGCGAATCTGATAATATTGATGTGTCAAATTCGACGATATTTCGATCCCCTTTTCGACCATTATCACGTTATAATGACCGAAACATCTAGTTATAATTTCGTTTTGTGTTTTGTTGCCAGTGAAAAGTTCTTGGGCCCAAGAGTTGGAACTGCCTTCGATTCAAATTACTATTCTCCAGGATCTGCTGGACCCGTACGGTTCTAGAATTCCGCCATGAATATAATAATACTAATATTATTATTATTATTATTATTATTATTATTATTATTATTGTTGTTGTTGTTGTAATTGTTTTATCAATCTTTTAGTGTAATCAGTCCATCACCCTTGGGGAAAAAGCATTTGGGGATTTGAGGTGATCAGTACCTCAGCCAGACTGTGAAGCTGAACTCTTTTCTAGGCTGAGGGGACTGACTACTTCAAGTATTTTTCCTCCAAGGTTGATGCCTCTGTATTTGACTGAAGAAGCCTACTTTGTAGGCGAAATGTTTCACGAATAAAGATACCCATGTGTTGTACATGTCTTAATTTTCAGCTTGTCGGTATTTTACACCATTATCAACATAATTAACTTACGTCTTGCTTGCAGGGTCAGATATGGCATCAAGTGGTCATTGCAATGGCTGGAATAGTCAGTCACTATTAAGGACTTATTTCATTTGTGGATAAATAAATGGTTTAGAGAACCGACCATTTGATAAATTAGACACATATGCAACACTTAGGTATCTTAATTGGGGAAACGTTTGGCCACACATTGTCTTCATCCGTCCAGTACAAAGAATAGTGAAGATCACAGGGAGACTGAGGTAATCAGTCCCTCAACCTGGAATCGATGTATTCAATACATCAAGATGGATGGGCTGACTACATCGACTCCAGGCAGATGGACTGATTATCTCAGTCCTCTTCTCCTCACTATTCTTCTATATATTGTACTGACGACGCCGCTGTGTGGCGAAAACCTTTTCACAGTTAAGATACCTAAGTGTTGCACATGTGTCTAATTTATCAACTTACTGCATTTCTTTTTAGGATGATAAAGACAAGTCGGTGCCATTACCTGCTGTCCAATTTTTGACAGCAAATGCTGGCTTTTTATCCTTTTGAAAAAATCCCCATGATAAAGGGTGGTTGCACTGCTCATAAATGCCTACATGAGTCATATATACCTATATCTGTGGTATAAACCTTGGTAATAAATACCAACAAGTTGGTTTAGAAAAACACGTAAGCAAACACTAGTAAATATTTATTAGAAAACGTTACAGTCCTACGACCTTGATCACTTCTCAAGGTCCCAGGACCGAAACGTTTTCTAATAAATATGTTTGTTACGTGTCTTTCAAAACTATACCTATATCTGCTCTATTATCAGTGACTTCAGTAGCAGCTGCGTATTACCAAAGGCTGAAAGAGTAACTCTGGGTCCACGTTGATGGAATTACCATTGATTTTAGCGAAAACTTTGAAGCCCATTGTGATAACATGCTCCTTTTTTCTTCAGTATATAGCTCATAGCTTTATTCTCCAATGATTCGAGGATTTCTACAACCATCTTCATTTGCTTTGTCCACATTTGCAGTTTTATCAACTGTAGCACCAGTGGCGATGTCACTGTGTTTTGTAATGCTGAACTACTTTAAAGAGATAATCCCGGGTACGGGTGGGGTTAGAACTCATGGCAAGTGAGTCGTAAAGATCCAGGCCAGTGCTTAAGCCACTGGGGCAGCTGGATACAGTAAGGTATTTTGCAACAGGATAAAATCTGATCACTTCAGAACAATTTCTGCTGCTACCAGAATTCTACCGTATTCGACTGAAGAAGCCTGCTGTGCAGGCGAAACCTTTCGCCAAAAAAAAAAAAAAGATATCAAAGTATTGTATTTGTGTCTTATTCGTCAACTTGCCAGTATTATGCACCATCAGTAATATGATTGTTTTTTTGTCTTCTTTTGGTGGGGATTTAAACGTTAGTTCCACAAAAACAATCATTATGCACGGGAGGAGTTGAACGATACGTCTAGACCTATTTTTTACCATTTTCAACATATGTACTTCCCTTGTACTTCTCCGGTAAGCCCGTTTGCATAGATTGAATAAATATACACGTGGTGACGTGTACTGAGATCAGTGGTGACGTGTACTTAGCTCTGTGAAGTTCTGTCCAGTGAATCTCCGTGAATCTGCACAAGATGTCCTCTCTTGAGCAACTGTACCAGCAGCTGAAAGAGGAGCTTAGGGTTGCTAAACTTGAGATACGGCGACTGACGGAGGAAAACAAGAGGATTCGAAGTAATCCTCCTGTTGTGAGTCCTCAGGTCAAGAGAGGAACCTGGTCAGTGGCCGGCCAACATGGAACAAAGCTGAAAATCAAGAAGTCTGTTGGAGTGGCGGAAACAACGAAGATCCATAAGATTGCTGTGGAGACTTCCAACCCATTTTCGGTGTTACCAGACGAATGTGGGTTGTCTACTGGAAACGCCACAACGAGCACCAAGGGAGCATTGGCAGACGTGAGTGAAACATCCCTTGATACCCCAGTGAAGACCATCAAGAATGTCATGACAAATTCCACAAATGAAGGTAAGAACATTGTTTTAGTTGGAGACAGTCAGGTTAAGTTTATGGATAGGGCCTTTTGTCTTAGGGACTGGAAGAGGAGGCTCAGGGTATGTTTTCCTGGGGCTGGGATGGGGAATATTGTTAGCCGTCTGGACGACATCATGAAAGGTAATGGGAGCAATCCTATTATCTGCCTCAGTGCGGGAGGCAACGATGTTGGCAGATGTAGGAGTGAGGACCTGATTAGCAAGTATAGGTCAGCAATAGAGATAATTAGGAGGAAGGGTGGGAAACCTGTCATATGTGGTATTTTGCCAAGGAGAGGAGTTGGAAACGAATGGTTGTCCAGGGCAATTGGTGTCAATTGCTGGCTGGACAAATACTGTAAGGAGAATGCGGTAACATTCATTGACAACTGGGACCTCTTCTATGGCAGAAATGACATGTATGCCAGGGATGGGGTGCACTTACCTAGGTCTGGGGTGGGAGCACTGGCAACGGCAGTGGAGGGAACTGTTAGGGCTTTAAACTAGGAATATATAGTGGTATGAGTTTTGACGAAAATACAGTGAAGTAACAAAAAAAGGCACAATACCGTGACTGGAACGATACACAAATAACCCGGTCCCGCACCAAGTCGGACCGAAACGTCGTCGTAAGCTTCTCTCTTTTATGTGCGGGTTATTTGTGTATACAGTGAAGTCCCAGTATAGTAAAACTATGAGTTCTAGGGGAACTAGTAATAGGAAGAATGAGGTGGATATTGGAAAGCCAATGGCACTAGGCAATAAGGACAGTAATAGGTTTAGTGAAAAAACAGTTATGAGCAGGAAGGGTAAAGAGAAAGGAGGGTCTTTAAAATTATATTATGCTAATAGCCGTAGTGCTAGGAATAAGATGGATGAGTTGAGATTAGTTGCTAGTGTGGGTAACATTGATGTATTTGCAATCACTGAGACATGGTTTAATTCCAAAAGTCGGGACATGCCTTCGGAATGTCACATTCAGGGTTTTAAATTGTTCCAAGTAGATAGAAATATCGGTAAGGGAGGTGGGGTGGCTCTGTATGTCCGAGATCACTTGAACTGTTGCATAAAAACGGGTATTAAGTCTGAGGTAACACATACAGAGTCTGTCTGGATAGAATTTTCAGAGGGGCATAAAAAATTGATTCTAGGAGTGATATACCGTCCCTCAAACTTAGATAGGGACCAAGGGAAATTACTGTGGGAGGAAATTGTTAAGGCCACAAGGCACGATAATGTAGTAATTCTAGGGGACTTTAACTTTAGTCACATTGATTGGAATTTCTTGACTGGGAATTTAGAATCAGATGGCTTCTTAGAAGTAGTTCAGGAATGTTTTTTGAAGCAGTTTGTGACAGAACCTACAAGGGGGAATAACATTCTTGATTTGGTTCTGGCGAACAAGGAAACCCTTGTTAATAAAAATTAATGAGGAACTCGGCACAAGCGATCACAAATCAATTCCCTTTAGCATAGAATGGAAGTATGATAGTAGAGACAACTCAGTAACAGTTCTAGATTTTCACTTAGCAGATTACAATGGGCTTAGAGAACACTTATCTGTTGACTGGGGTAACGAAGAGAGCTATCAATATGACAGTTTTCTGAACACTATACATGCTGCTCAAAGAACGTTTATCCCATATAAAGAAATTAGATCAAATAGAAATGACCCAAAATGGATGAATAATAAGCTGAAATATCTACTAGGGCATAAGAAAGGAGTTTATAGGCGTATCAAAAGAGGTGAGGGTCATCTTATGAATCAGTATATTGACATATAGAGGGACGTTAAAAAGGGTACAAGAAAAGCTAAAAGGGACTATGAAATTAAAGTTGCTAGGGATTCGAAAACTAACCCAAAAAGTTTTTTCCAGGTGTATAGAACGAAAGTTAGAGATAAGATAGGTTCCCTTAAAAATAACTATGGGCATCTTACTGACAAAGAGAATGAAATGTGCTCAATTTTAAAAAAATTATTTCCTCTCGGTTTTTACACAGGAAGACACTAACAGTATTCCAGTAATTAATATTTATAGTGGGCCTGAAGAAGATAAATTATGTAACACCACAGTCACTAGTGAAATGGTTATGAAACAAATAGACAGACTGAAGCAAAATAAGTCGCCGGGTCCTGATGAGGTTTTTTCAAGGGTTCTTAAGGAATGCAAAATGGAACTCTGTGAACCATTAACTAATATTTTTAATTTATCTCTTCAAACAGGTGTAGTGTCTGATATGTGGAAGATGGCTAATGTAATTCCTATTTTTAAAGCAGGGGACAAGTCGTTACCGTCAAATTACCGCCCAATAAGCCTAACCTCAATTGTAGGCAAATTACTAGAGTCAATTATAGCTGAGATTATAAGAAGCCATCTCGATAAGCATAGCTTGATTAATGATACTCAGCATGGATTCACGAGGGGCCGGTCTTGTCTAACTAATTTATTAACTTTCTTCAGTAAAGCTTTTGAGGCTGTTGACCACGATAAAGAATTTGATATTATTTACTTAGATTTTAGTAAGGCTTTTGATAGAGTTCCGCACCAAAGACTGTTAAAGAAAGTGGCAGCTCATGGCATTGGGGGAAGGGTGCTCTCGTGGATCGAGTCATGACTCACAGACAGGAAGCAGAGTGTGTCCATAAATGGGGTTAAATCCGAGTGGGGATCTGTAACAAGTGGCGTTCCACAGGGATCAGTCTTGGGCCCGTTGTTGTTTATAATATATATCAATGATCTTGATGAGGGAATTACTAGTGAAATGAGCAAATTCGCCTATGACACAAAGATAGGTAGGATAATTGATTCAAACGTAGATATCAGGGAACTTCAGGAGGATTTAAACGTAGATATCAGGGAACTTCAGGAGGATTTAGACAAACTCAATACCTGGTCAGCAAAGTGGCAGATGCAGTTCAATGTAGATAAATGCAAGGTTCTGAAGATCGGGAGTGTCCATAACCCTAGCACTTAAATAATGTAGAACTTAGCCATACAGATTGTGAAAAGGACTTGGGGGTTATGGTGAGCAGTAAACTTAAACCAAGACAGCAGTGCCTAAGCGTACGTAATAGGGCAAATAGATTATTGGGATTTGTATCAAGAAGTGTAAGCAACAGAAGTCCAGAGGTTATACTGCAGCTTTATACATCATTAGTAAGGCCTCACCTAGATTATGCAGCTCAGTTCTGGTTTCCATATTACAGAATGGACATAAATTCGTTAGAAAACATTCAGCGTAGAATGACTAAATTAATACATAGCATTAGAAATCTTCCTTATGAAGAAAGATTGAAGACTGTCTGTCTCAACTATTGGATCACTACGACAAGGTCCTAGATGCACTAGAAGACAAAAAGAATGCAGATGTAATATATACAGACTTTGCAAAAGCCTTCGACAAGTGTGACCATGGCGTAATAGCGCACAAAATGCGTGCTAAAGGAATAACAGGAAAAGTCGGTCGATGGATCTATAATTTCCTCACTAACAGAACTCAGAGATTTGTCGATGAATGGTTCAGAGAACCGACATGTTGATAAATTAGACACGTGTGCAACTCTTGGGTATCTTTATTGAGGAAACGTTTCGCCACACAGTGGCTTCATCAGTCCATACAAAGGAGAATCTTGAAGAACAGGAGGAGAATGAGGTAATCAGTCCCTCAACCTTGAGTCGATGTGGTCAGTCCATCAATCTTGAATAGAATACGGCATACGTGCTGAGAAGGAGCTTATAAACCGTTGGTAGGAGAGGTGCAGCAGTCATAGGTGGTGTCACATTTGTTCAATGTGGAAGTAGGTCGTGCCCAAGAATTAGGCAAGCGAAGAATTCCCAAGTATTAAGATCCCAAGAAGTTGCAGTGTCTGACAGGTTTGTATTCTATTCAAGATTGATGGACTGACCACATCGACTCAAGGTTGAGGGACTGATTACCTCATTCTCCTCCTGTTCTTCAAGATTCTCATTTGTATGGACTGATGAAGCCACTGTGTGGCGAAACGTTTCCTCAATAAAGATACCCAAGAGTTGCACACGTGTCTAATTTATCATCAGAACACAGAGAGTAGTAGTCAACAGAGTAAAGTCCGAGGCAGCTACGGTGAAAAGCTCTGTTCCACAAGGCACAGTACTCGCTCCCATCTTGTTCCTGTTCCTCATCCTCATATCTGACATAGACAAGGATGTCAGCCACAGCACCGTGTCTTCCTTTGCAGATGACACCCGAATCTGCATGACAGTGTCTTCCATTGCAGACACTGCAAGGCTCCAGGCGGACATCAACCAAATCTTTCAGTGGGCTGCAGAAAACAATATGAAGTTCAACGATGAGAAATTTCAATTACTCAGATATGGTAAACACGAGGAAATTAAATCTTCATCAGAGTACAAAACAAATTCTGGCCACAAAATAGAGCGAAACACCAACGTCAAAGACCTGGGAGTGATCATGTCGGAGGATCTCACCTTCAAGTACCATAACATTTTATCAATCGCATCTGCTAGAAAAATGACAGGATGGATAATGAGAACCTTCAAAACTAGGGGTGGCCAAGCCCATGATGACACTCTTCAGGTCACTTGTTCTATCTAGGCTGGAATATTGCTGCACACTAACAGCACCTTTCAAGGCAGGTGAAATTGCTGACCTAGAAAATGTACAGAGAACCTTCACGGCGCGCATAACGGAGATAAAACACCTCAATTACTGGGAGCGCTTGAGGTTCCTCAACCTGTATTCCCTGGAACGCAGGCGGGAGAGATACATGATTATATACACCTGGAAAATCCTAGAGGGACTAGTACCGAACTTGCACACGAAAATCACTCACTACGAAAGCAAAAGACTTGGCAGACGATGCAACATCCCCCAATGAAAAGCAGGGGTGTCACTAGCACGTTAAGAGACCATACAATAAGTGTCAGGGGCCAGAGACTGTTCAACTGCCTCCCAGCATACATAAGGGGGATTACCAACAGACTCCTGGCAGTCTTCAAGCTGGCACTGGACAAGCACCTAAAGTCGGTTCCTGATCAGCCGGGCTGTGGCTCGTACGTTGGTTTGCGTGCAGCCAGCAGTAACAGCCTGGTTGATCAGGCTCTGATCCACCAGGAGGCCTGGTCACAGACCGGGCCGGGGGGCGTTGACCCCCGGAACTCTCTCCAGGTAAACTTCAGGTAAACTCTTAAATTACATTACTTGTTAGACGAAGAATGAGGGGAGACATGATCGAAGTGTATAAGTGGAAGATAGGTATTAATAAAGGGGATATTGTTAGGTAAGACACATATGCAACAGTTAGGTATCTTTATTTCGAAACGTTTCGCCTACACAGTAGGCTTCTTCAGTCGAGTACAGAAAAGTTGATAGAAGCAGAAGAAACTTGAAGACGATGTAATCAGTCCATCACCCTTTAAGTTTTGAGGTGGTCAGTCCCTCAGTCTGGAGAAGAGCATTGTTCCAAAGTTTGTAACAATACGTTTCGAAATAAAGATACCTAACTGTTGCATATGTGTCTTACCTAACAATCTGTCGGTATTTTATACCATTTTAATGTTCAAAGGGGATATTAATAAGGTCTTGATGATATCTCTCCAAGAGAGAACCCGCAGTAATGGATTTAAATTAGACAAGTTTAGATTTAGAAAGGACATAGGAAAGTATTGGTTTGGAAATAGGGTAGTTGATGAGTGGAACAGTCTACCTAGTTGGGTTATTGAGGCTAAGACTTTAGGTAGCTTCAAATTTAGGTCGGATAAATATATGAGTGAGAGGGGTTGGATTTGAGTGGGATTTGCAAATGAGTGGATAGAGTTATCAGACCTTATTTCTTGGGGAGCATTGAAAATTGGGTTGGGCAAATGTTTTGTTAGTGGGATGGATTGTAAAAGACCTGCCTAGTATGGGCCAACAGGCCTGCTGCAGTGATCCTCCTTTCTTATGTTCTTATGTTCTTATGAAAAAAGCCGGGTTTGATTAGTACCTGAGGTGCTGAAGCAAATTCTTGGGTAGATTTGGGAAAATGTGGACAAATAGGTGGGTGGGTGGGAATGGTTGGTTTTGATAAGGACCTGCATTGTTTGGGCCAGTAGGCCTACTGCAGTGTTCCTCTATTCTTATGTTCTTATGTTCCAGCCAGGTCGCTGGCCCTGGTTAGCTGCTGTGGGCTTCAAGCGATCTTCAGAGTTCTTCACGAGCTGTGGAGGCTCGCTCATCACACGAAGACACGTCCTTACCGCAGCTCACTGCTTCAAACCCAACACACAAAATAATCCGTGAGTATCTGGACGTGTCCCTTCAAGGAGGCGTGACCTTGATTCGAGGAACTGGAATCCTCTTCTTCAATGAAGGTCATCTGTTTGTCATGCATTCCTCAGAAGCTGTACGACATTTAAAGCTTCAACTCTGACGCATAAGATATTCTGGGAGTATGTGCACTCGTGTTGTTTTTAAAGACAGCACAAAAAGTCTTTTATTATGCAACATTTCACCCACATTAGGGATGTTTAACCCGCAGTGGGACTTTAGTAAATGCTTGATAGAAGCTTTCCCAACTAAAAGTGCCTTTGAAATTACCACTGAAGGTGCGTAATATATATATTCCCCCTTTCAGTTGCACTTACCCACTTGCGCCGTTATCTACCAAGGCTTTGTCTTCAACGCCATTTTCCTCAGGATTGAACTTTATAGTCTGTACAAAAACAGAAACTACGCCATCCCACACTACATCATGTGACCTGACCTCCCGCTTTCCTGTCTTGTCTGTGAGTTTTAGAACTCGCTTACCATGGGTTCAGTCCCTACTCTTTCCACGATGTGTCTTCGCTGCAGACAGCGGAACCTTTCCTTCCTCTCCATCTCACCTGACTGTGCATCTAACAGACAGTTGTGTGTGTGTGTGTGTGTGTGTGTGTATACTCACCTAGATGTACTCACCTAGTTGTGGTTGCAGGGATCGAGTCATAGCTCCTGGCCCCGCCTCTTCACTGGCCGCTACTGTGTGTGTGTTTGTGTGTTTGTTCAGAGTAAACGAATGGCTATGAGCCGATAAATGTTAACAAGAATACTCTATCATCAAGGAATCCTTTAAGTGATGCGACGTTTTACCCACTGGGGCTTTATCAAGTAAATGGAATACAAACAGCGGTATATATAGCGTATGATCATACTGACAGTATGGACCTGCCTTGTATGGGCCAGAAGGCCTGCAGTGTTCCTCTAGTCATATGTTCTTATGACAGTAAGAAAACTAGACATTTCGATTCCTGCACGATCTGAAAAAGGTATTCCCGTATACCATAACTCCAGCCTCCTGTACATCAATGCACGCGGTTGCAATAGTGCAGAGTGCGGCACAAGTTGATAATGCAGTTAAAAATTAGCTTTGAAGATTTGAAGGGAATCAGACGAGGCATTCACAAGGCATCACATAGAAACTAATATCTAAATTTCTAAAAAAAAAAAAAGTTAAATTAGGACATACAAAAACCAAATCTAATTCAGATCTTTCAGAGAGACCAAAGTCACCAATATCTTCAAATACTTACGCACATTGAGTCTGAAGATGACTCATATATTGAACTGTCAGCGTGGAAGGGTTAAACCTAGTCAGATGCGACATTCAGAAATTATTGCATGAAAAGCAATACTTTTTTCCAGATTTCTTCCAACAAAGCAAATTGGGACCTACACAGGTCAAAATCAATTAAAATTTTTCTCTAAGTAAGATAAGCCAACTTTTAAGGAAGTAAAAAGGAAAGTAAGCAAGTTTTATGTAAGCCTAGTGTATATAAATTTTTAACACTGGTCTTGAGGATACACTGATGTTGTAGACGTATTAAAACATTAAGTTGATTTAACTTAGGATAACTAAATAAAGTCAAACATTGTGACTTATTACTTAGGTTAGGAAAGGTTCGTCAGTAAACAGAACAAGTGTTGTTAGGTAAGACACATATGCAACAGTTAGGTATCTTTATTTCGAAACGTTTCGCCTACACAGTAGGCTTCTTCAGTCGAGTACAGAAAAGTTGATAGAAGCAGAAGAGACTTGAAGACGATACAATCAGTCCATCACCCTTAAAGTTTTGAGGTGGTCAGAATGGTATATAATACCGACAAGATGAAATAAAGACACATGTGCAACATCTGGGTATATTTATTGTAGACGTTTCGCCATCCAGTGGCTTTATCAATACAAATTCTAGGACATAACTTGAAGACAGTAGAACTATGTACAGAAGATGAGGTAATCAGTCCCTCAACCTAGGAGTAGGTGCGAAGAGCACCATCTCCACGACTATGGTGCTCTTCGCACCTCCTCCTAGGTTGAGGGACTGATTACCTCATCTTCTGTACATAGTTCTACTGTCTTCAAGTTATGTCCTAGAATTTGTATTGATAAAGCCACTGGATGGCGAAACGTCTACAATAAATATACCCAGATGTTGCACATGTGTCTTTATTTCATCTTGTCGGTATTATATACCATTCTGACCACCTCAAAACTTTAAGGGTGATGGACTGATTGCATCGTCTTCAAGTCTCTTCTGCTTCTATCAACTTTTCTGTACTCGACTGAAGAAGCCTACTGTGTAGGCGAAACGTTTCGAAATAAAGATACCTAACTGTTGCATATGTGTCTTACCTAACAACTTGTCGGTATTTTATACCATTTTAATGTTCAGAACAAGTGTTACCTGACGCGGGTCTTAAGAGGATGACCCGCCTTTGGAACTTTTGGTCATCTGACCATAGCCTTCCGCTGGCTTACCGGTCCACCCCTTTAAAAAATATGGTCATTTATAACCATTTTTGATGACTTATTACTGATCAAACGACACATTCTTCAATTATATCACACAAAAAACAATTATATTAATAAAACTGGCAAATGATAACTTGCACAGCCTAACACCAACACTAAACTTCAATGTTGACCAGAAGATGCATTTCCAATTATTGTACAGAATTCATCAATATTTGTGCCTACGCAGCCTAAACCCACGACGCGTTCCATCCATTTCCTAAGATGTATCAGCCGTTGAAGATTGATGACGTTCATAATTGTTATATTTTAATCAGAGGAAAGTGCTAAATCAGTATGGGTCATATAGTGTCTGTAGGATGGGAGGCAGATAAATTCAATCTAAGGAAGATGAAGATAAGTTCAGTTCACTGGATCAAAAACCCCTCACCAGTATCAAGGCAAAATAATGCATTACGGGAAAATAATACTCGGCCATTTCGAGATTAAAAATGGCAAAATGGCGTCTACACTTCATTAAATATAACAGCCTTTTAAGTAGGAACTCCTCAAGGGAAGTTTCTTGACGCTGGTGAGGGGCTCTTGATCTAGGGAATTGGATCTGTGCTTCGGTTCCCTGAATTAAGCCTGAATACCTTCCATCCCCCCACCTGCGCTGTATAATCCTACGGGTTTAGCGCTCCCCCATGATTATAATAATATATAATAATAATTTTAAGTAGAAAACACCACTTGATATTCTGAAGGTTATCAGAGGAGACTCTGTCCAGCTAACACAGGGAAACAAAATTTGGGAATGACCTGTGTAACATTATATATAGGTGACCGACGCATGTAAATAGTCCCCATGAATCTTGCCCAAGATACATTATCCCAGGTTTGAAAATTTGAAGGTCATCGAATATGGCGTTCTCGAGTCATGCAGAGTTGTTGCAACATGACTCCCGTGATTTGTTGATATATATTACATAGTTTGTGCTCTTTACAATCATTGTTACAGTCATTGTTACAGTCATTGTTACAGTTATTGTTACTGTCATTGTTACTGTCATTGTTACTGTCATTGCTCCAGTCATTGTTTCAATCCTCAAAACGTACTTATGGGTGACAAAAGATAACGCTACTGAATCATCTAATTACACACCTCTTATGTCATTTGCTTCAGTTAAATTATTTGAAATTCATTTATTGGATGTATTAGAAGGGATGAGGAATTTTGAGTTTAGACAGTTTGTGTTCGGTAAGAGGTTATCTACTGTAGACTTATGTCTGGCGCTGATAGAAACTGATAGACCTGAAATGAAGAGGGCCGGATGGACTTCTTTTTTATACAGATCAATTTTACAGGTTAATAGTTATTATCCAGATCAATTTTACAGATTAATAGCTGTTATCCAGCCTCAGATCATTTCAGCTATGTAACTATCGTATAGAATAGTGTAGTAGCACACTGCTGGTGTTCCCACTATGTAACTATCATATAGAATAATGTAGCAGCACGCTAGTGATGTATCCAAATTGGCAAATATAAATGCAGTGATACCTCGCATATTCGGCCTGCCATTATCTGAACTTGCCAATATCCGATCAGGCCCTAGGAAAGGGCAAAATTCTAAAATTATTACCGAAACATCCGAACAGCTGTTCGGATGCGACAGAAGTGTGAATCAAACTTGGCGCGCACTTTAGTGTACTGATTGGCCACTAGGAGCCGCGCTCTTCGCCTTTAATCATTATTACAACTGTGTCTGGTCCTAGTTATCTTGTGTATGGCACCAAAGACGGCTAGGAATGTGCTTACTCTAGAAAAAAAAGAGGGAAATATTGTCGCATGTGGACGCAGGTTGATCCAAGGCTGGGGAAAACTACAGAAGAACGTGCAGACTGACTGGAGTGTGACGAAGACGACCCTGGTGTGCAATCTGACGGATGCAGAGATTGCAGAATCAGTGTTGCACTCGGAACATTCCGAAAGTGATGACGACGACGACGACCTAATACCTAAGACCACAACTTCAGCAGCAAGGTCAAGTGTTGAAGCACTTTTGGAGTATTTGGAGCATCCACTGTCCACAGCGATATGGCGGCACGGATGCGTATTTTTTCCCCCTCACGTATCCGGAAACTCCGTGTTTCCGAACCGGCCTCGGCCCATATAGTCGGATATGAGAGGTATCACTGTATAAACAAGCTTGGCCGAGTGTCAGCCAACTAATACACATAATGGTTATAATCATGATTTTTAAAAAGGTGGACCGACAAGCCAGCGGAAGTCCTCCGTCAGATGACCAAAAGCTCCAACTGCGGGTCATCACATGACTAAGACCTGCCTCAGGAAAAACTTGTTCTGTTTCCTGATAAACATTGTACCTACCTATCTGAGTGTGTGTGTGTGTGTATGGTCACCAGGAGAAACGTGCGCCTGGGAGAGTTCAGCTTGACGCGGTCTGACGACGGTGCTGCGCCCCAGGACTTCCTCATCTCGGGTCGTCGTGGTCTTCCATACAACGACATCACCAAGGAAAACGACCTTCTGATTCTGGTCCTGGACCACGACGCTCAGCTCGGTGGTTAGTGTAAGACGGTCTTTTTTATTCACGACGCGCTAAACCCTCGTGGGTCATTATTAAAGTTACTACTAGGATTGTGCTAAATCCTCGTGGGTCATTGTTAAAATCATTGAGATGCTCTAAACCCTCGTGGGTCATTATTAAGAAGTAGTAGTAGTAGCAGCAGTAGTAGTAGCAGTAGTAGTAGCAGTAGTAATATTAATGATATATATCTTTATTTCTACAAGTACATGTACAAGGTGTACAGACCATAGCTGACAGCAATGACATACTACAATATGCTGAGCATTTCCCACAAATTAGGTCAATTATGTCCCAGGATGCGACCCACATCAGTCAACTAACACCCAGGTACCCATTTTACTGATGGGTGAACACAGACAACCGATGTAAAGAAACACCCATTGTTCCTACCCTCGCCGGGAATCGAACCCGGACATGGCCGTGTGAAGCGAGAGCTTTAGCCATCAGGCCACGGGGTAGAAGTAGTAGTATTTGGTATTAATAGTAGTAGTAGAAGTATTAGTAGTAGTAAATCTTTGGGGTTTTACATCGTGAATGTAATACAATACTGACAAGTACATTAATTAGTAAGACACATGTGCCTCAGTTACGTATCTTAATTTGATGTCATCATCTATGACCACTGAAAACATAATATTTAAGGGGTCAGTCCCACAGCTTGAGAAGGAGTTCAGCTTTATATCCTGGACTGATTACATCATCTCTTCATCTCTGCTTCTGCTGCCTCCTCAGCGTTCGACTGAAGAAGCCTACTGTGTAGACGAAACGTTTCGGAATAAAGATACTTAACTGTTGGTTTAGAAAGACACGTAAGCAAACACTATGACATATTTATTAGAAAACGTTTCGGTTCTGGGACCTTGATCACTTCTAAGTGATCAAGGTCCCAGGACCGAAACGTTTTCTAATAAATATGTCATAGTGTTTGCTTACGTGTCTTTCTAAACCAACTTGTCGGTATTTATTACCAAGGTTTATACCATACTTAACTGTTACATATGTGTCTCACTTGTCCATCAAGTTATACATCGCCGGGGAAATGGGAGGTAATCCGTTAGAAAACATCTTATCTCCCTGGCACACCCAACCGTCAGCTAACTACATGAAAACCGCCTATTCTCCTGTATCATACACACATAAAAAAAAAAACCTAGACCTCCCCTCGATATCTGTGATTCCCCACAATTCACACTTACACTCATCCAATTGACTATAAACAGAAATACGTAAAACAATTATTACCTAATGAATCTTAACTAGTCATAAGTTTGCCTGCGATACTCCAGTATAGAAACTATGTATTGTACCAAAACAAAACCATTCACATTGCTAAATTTACGAAGTATAATGCAGTTACTTAGCCTTAATACCAATATGCTCCATAATCTGTACCAATATAGAGTTTTGAATTAATCTTAGTCTGCCCGAAATGCCTAGTCATGGCTAGGTGTGATAGTGGCTCTCTCTGTAATTAGTATTTTATAATAGTGTAAACCACACAATATCCTATAATATGTAAACCCCGCATTGCAATCTTTATTGAGAATAAACTTGATTGATTTGAAGGAATTAGACGAGAGATGCGAATCACTGTATCATGATCCGCTTTGATGGGTGCTGCTCCTTTAGCAACAAGCTCATTTAGGCTTAGCAACAAGCTCATTTAGGCTTAGCAACAAGCTAAGAACATAAAGGTACAATACAGTGACTAAATACACAATTATAACAGCACATTGGAGAAAAACTTATCACGACGTTTCGCTCCTACTTTGACCATTTACTAATCACACTGATTTGTAAATGGTCAAAGTCGGACCTGAAGCTTAGCCACATAATCGAATCTCATTAAGATGTTCTCCACAGGTCTGGTTAGCCCTGTGTGTCTGCCCTTCAACGAGAGGAACAACAATCTGGAGGGTGCGAGGCTGACTGTGGTGGGGTGGGGCAGGACAACAGGTGAGTGTGGGTGACTGTGGTGGGGTGGGGCAGACAACAGGTGAGTGTGGGTGACTGTGGTGGGTGAGGCAGGACAAGAGATGAGTGTAGGTGACTGGGTAGGGGTGGGGCAGGACAACAGATGAGTGTGGGTGACTGGTGGGTGGGCCAGGCAACAAGTGAGGTGGGTGATGGGTGGGGTGAGGCATGGCAACGAGATGTAGGTGACTGGTGGGGTGGCGCAGGACAACAGTGAGTGTGGGTGACTTGTGGTGTGGGCAGGGCAACAAATGGGTGTGGGTGGCATGGACGGATGATGGTGGTGCGACAGACAACAGTGATTCTGTTGATGTGTGACACATGTGGGGACGAAGTGTGTTGCTGCACTATTCTGTATGATAGTTACACAGTGGAAACACCAACAGTGCCCTAATACTCTATTCTGTATGATAGTTACACAGTGGGAACACCGGCAGTGTCCTACTACACTATTCTGTATGATAATTATGTATCCATGCCCTTTTAACATTTTTTCTTGCTCCTCTGTGTCCTCCCAGAGAAAGGGCGAGGCTCCGACGTGCCCATGGAGGCAGACGTGCCCCTGGTACCCAGCAACGTCTGCAGGGCCGCCTTCCAGAGGGTACAGAACCGTCCTATGGTGGACCACAGGAATCTGTGTGCTGGCCTCGGGAACCGCGACTCTTGTAGTGTAAGTAGAGGCTGGGTGATGGGCTCTTGATCCAGTGAGCTCCATTGATCTTCCCATTCCTTGGATTAATTCTAAATGCCTTCTGTTTCCCTGTGCTACGTGACCCCTGTGAGTTTAGCGCTTCTACCTGCTTGAGATAAAACAGTGGTGACACATGTTGAAGAATGAGGCTCATGTGCAACATTTGGTAATCTTTATTGAGGAAACGCTTCGCCAGCCAGTGGCTTCATCAGTCCATTACAAAGAAGAATGGTGGAAAAAGAGGAATTTGAGGTAATCAGTCCCTCTAACACAGCAACATCTTGGGATCTTGATACAGGGAATTCTACTACGCCTGCCTAAGCTACAGGCATGACTTACACTAGTGGATATGTCCAATGGTGACTCCGCCTCCCGCTGCTTAAACTCGCCTGCATATACTGTACTTTTCTCAAGATTGTTGGACTGAACACTTCCGCTCCAAGCTGAGGGACTGATTACCTCGTTCTCCTTTTCATTTTTCGCCGTTCTTCACTGTATTGTACTGAAGAAGCCACTGATTGGCGAAACATTTCCTCAGTAAAGATTCCCAAATGTTGTACAAGTGTCTCATTCTTCAACCTGATGGTTTTCTAAACTATCTATATTATTACATGGTGAAGTATATTATAGTGGTGATACATGGTGAAGTATATTATAGTGGTGATACATGGTGAAGTATATTATAGTGGTGATACATGGTGAAGTATATTACAGTAATGATACTTAGTGAAATATATTATAGTGATACATGGTGAAGTGTATCCTAGGAGTGATACATGTTGAAGTGTCTAGTGCAGCGATGCCGTCTACCATAAACCTTCCACACACATAACGAACCATTTCGTTCGCAGTTTAGGAAACAAACTGGAAAATTATCTAAATATACAAAATATTCATCAGCCTCTCCCACTATTTTTTCTTAACTTATCTCATTCATCCTTAAAGTTGACGTCTGTATCTAAGGACCATTATTATTATTATTATTATTATTATTATTATTATTATTATTATTATTATTGTTATTATTATTATTATTTTTCAACAAGTTGGCCGTCTCCCACCGAGGCAGGGTGACCCAAAAAAAGAAAGAAAATCCCCCAAATAAAATACTTTCATCATCATTCAACACTTTCACCTCGCTCACACATAATCACTGTTTTTGCAGAGGTGCTCAGAACACAACAGTTTAGAAGTATATACGTATAAAGATACACAATATATCCCTCCAAACTGCCAATATCCCAAACCCCTCCTTTAGAGTGCAGGCATTGTACTTCCCATTTCCAGGACTCATGTCCAGCTATATAAAAATAACCGGTTTTCCTGAATCCCTTCACTAAATATTACCCTGCTCACACTCCAACAGATCGTCAGGTCCCAAATACCATTCGTCTCCATTCACTCCTATCGAACACGCTCACGCAAAATAAAACTAAGCTCTAAATCCACACAAGTTAAGTTTACAGAGGCTAAGGTACCTTTTTTTTTTTCCAAGACCGATATGATATCTGTTCTCTCCGTTATTTTTTGACCCTCTTCCGTGACCCCTCACGATTGTTCCACGCACGATTACAGATAATAGTTTTTGCAGATGAATGGTTCAGAGAACCGACATGTTGATAAATTAGACACATGTGCAACTCTTGGGTATCTTTATCGAGGAAACGTTTCGCCACACAGTGGCTTCATCAGTCCATACGTAGGAGAAACTTGAAGAACAGGAGAAGAATGAGGTAATCAGTCCCTCAACCTTGAGTCGATGTGTTCAGTCCATCAATCTTGAATAGAATACGGCATATCAACGGAGAAGGAGCTTATAAACCGTATGGCAGGAGAGGTGCAGCAGTCATAGGTCGTGTCACATTTGTTCAATGTGGAAGTAGGTCGTGCCCAAGAATTAGGCAAGCGAAGAAATCCTAAGTATTAAGATCCCAAGAAGTTGCAGTGTCTGGCAGATTTGTAGATGAATGGTTCAGAGAACCGACATGTTGATAAATTAGACTGAACACATCGACTCAAGGTTGAGGGACTGATTACCTCATTCTTCTCCTGTTCTTCAAGTTTCTCCTACGTATGGACTGATGAAGCCACTGTGTGGCGAAACGTTTCCTCGATAAAGATACCCAAGAGTTGCACATGTATCTAATTTATCAACAGATAATAGTAAAACTAACGCGTTTAATCGTTACCTTCATTTATAACGGCCTTTTACTCTTTCACTTACACTCTATTATCATCTCTTAATTTACTTCCCCTCTACGTTTACCCCATTTTCTTGCGTTTCCCTTCTTTGGTAGGTTCCGACAATTCATATTTATTCCTCTATTCTTCCATGCACATTGTCACTCACATTTTCACGCTCTAGCTGTATACATTGATGGCTACATATGTTGAGATGGAATAGGGTATGTGGTTGTTGTTTTTTTTAAGAGTAATACAAATGCATTTGCTATAATCGGCCAGCATTTTCACAGTAGAGTTAAATGCAGTGCTCGTCACTATCATACACATTGCAGCAGTAGCCGCCTCTTCATTTCTTGTTTCTTAAGTCCAAAAAAAAGCGTTACCAGGTATCTAGAAATTTGACTCCCCGCGACTTGTCGCCCTTTGTATACAATAGTCGTGATACATTTCTTGCAAAAACGAAGTCATTTGCTACTGGGTCCCTGGACACGCCAATGTTTAGTTCAATGAACTTACGGACGCATCACTTCAGCTATTCACCACTTTCCAGTCTCCTAAAGGTGTCTGTTTCTTGAACTCTTTCCAGTAATCTCTCAACATCTTCGACACAACTTGCAATAATATGGCTTTAAGCTAAAACGTAAACATTGTTTTCAATCAAACCACAGTTTAGTCACTGAGAATCTTCTTGCCATGAGAAACTACTCTCACATTTCCTAATCGGACTTGCAAGACAAGTACTACACGGACAAATGCCCGACATATTTGAGGACTGCGAGGTTGCTCTATGAGTTTGTCATATCTTAATAAACTGTTTTATTTATCATAACTCATGAGACTGCACTTCCACCATCTACAGTGCTCTGATGCACTAACTCAACTCCTCGAAGAAAGTTGTAGATAAATGGTTCAGAGAACCGACAAGTTGATAAATCATACACATGTGCAGCACTTGGGTATCTTTACTGAGGAAACGTTTTGCCACACAGTGACTTCATCAGTCCAGTATCATTCCTCTTTGTATTGAACAGATGAAGCCACTGTGTGGCGAAACGTTGCCACAATAAAGGAACCCAAGTGTTACACATGTATCTAATTTATAGAAGAAAATTCCACCTTAAATGCTCTCTCAAGATTTTGCAAGAAACTAATTGCACTATCACTTCAGTTTTGCATTCACACTAATTCTTACCTCCACTAATCCCCACCCTCCATGCCCACCCTTACTTGCAACACTTTAAGTCCCGTGGAAGCATAGCTCATGTTTTTAGATATAACAATGATAATAATTAATCACAATCGTAATAATAATAATGGTTTGCTTAACCAGGGTGACAGTGGTGGTCCTCTCAACTACCGTGGCCAGGATGGCAGGTACTACCTGGTAGGTGTTGTGTCCTTTGGTGTTGGTTGCGCCCGTGCTGCCTTCCCCGGGGTCTACACCAGAGTGACCACCTTCCTCGACTGGATCATCACTAATGTCCAGTAGGCCTGGAAACCAACATCCAGTAGGTCTGGAAACCACCAACGTCCAGTAGGCCTGGAAACCACCAACGTCCAGTAGACCTGGAAACCACCGGCGTCCAGTAGGCCTGGAAATCACCAGCGCCCAGTAGGCCTGGAAATCAACATCCAGTAGGCCTGGAAATCAACATCCAGTAGGCCTGGAAACCACCACATCCAGTATGCCTGGAAACCACCAACGTCTAACAGTCCTTGAAACCACCAACGTCCGGTAGGCTTGGGAACCACCAACGTTCAGTAGTCCTAAAAACCAATATCCAGTAGGCCTGCTAACCACTAACGTCAAATAGTTCTGGAAACCATCTGTCATCGACAAAGATGTAAGAAGGAGGTGAAAGTGTATAAATTAAGGAAGGAGGAAGTTCGGGTGAGCTATAAGCAACTGTTGACAGAAAGGTGGGCTGGTGCAAGTATGAGTAGTGCGGGGGTTGAAGAGGTTTGGAATAGTTTTAAAAATGCAGTATTAGAATGCGGGGCAGAAGTTTGTGGTTATAGGAGGGTGGGTGCAGGAGGAAAGAGGAGTGATTGGTGGAATGATTAAGTAAAGGGTGTCGATAAAAGAGAAAAATGTAGCTTATGAGAAGTTTTTACAAAGAAGTGTTATACGAAGAGTAGAGTACATGGAGAGTAAAAGAAAGGTGAAGAGAGAGTGCAGAAGGAGAGCAGATGATAGAGTGGGAGAGGCACTGTCAAGAAATTTTAATGAAAATAAGAAAAAAATTTGGAGCGAGTTAAACAAGTTAAGAAATCCTAGGGAACGAATGGAAATGTCAGTTAAAAACAGAGTAGGGGAGTTAGTAGATGGGGAGATGGAGGTATTGGGTAGATGGCGAGAATATTTTGAGGAACTTTTAAATGTTGACGAAGAAAGGGAGGCGGTAATTTCATGCACTGGCCAGGGAGGTATACCATCTTGTAGGAGTGAAGAAGAGCAGGATGTAAGTGTGGGGGAGGTGACGTGAGGCATTGCGTAGAATGAAAGGGGGTAAAGCAGCTGGAACTGACGGGATCATGACAAATGTTAAAAACAGGGGGGGACATAGTGTTGGAGTGGTTGGTATTTTTGTTTAATAAATGTATGAAAGAGGGGAAGGTACCTAGGGATTGGCAGAGAGCATGTATAGTCCCTTTATATAAAGGGAAGGGGGACAAAAGAGATTATAAAAATTATAGAGGAATAAGTTTACTGAGTATACCAGGAAAAATGTACGGTAGGGTTATTATTGAAAGAATTAGAGGTAAGACAGAATGTAGGATTGTGGATGAGCAAGGAGGTTTTAGAGTGGGTAGGGGATGTGTAGATCAAGTGTTTACATCGAAGCATATATGTGAACAGTATTTATATAAAGATAGGGAAGTTTTTATTGCATTTATGGATTTAGAAAAGGCATATGATAGAGTGGATAGGGAAGCAATGTTGCAGATGTTGCAAGTGTATGGAATAGGTGGTAAGTTACTAAATGCTGTAAAGAGCTTTTATGAGGTTAGTGAGGCTCAGGTTAGGGTGTGTAGAAGTGAGGGAGACTACTTCTCGGTAAAAGTAGGTCTTAGACAGGGATGTGTAATGTCACCATGGTTGTTTAATATATTTATAGATGGGGTTGTAAAAGAAGTTAATGCTAGGGTGTTCGGGAGAGGGGTGGGATTAAATTATGGGGAATCAAATACAAAATGGGAATTGACACAGTTACTTTTTGCTGATAATACTGTGCTTATGGGAATTTCTAAAGAAAAATTGCAAAGGTTAGTGGACGAGTTTGGGAGTGTGTGTAACGGTAGAAAGTTGAAAGTGAACATAGAAAAGAGTAAGGTGATGAGGGCATCAAATGATTTAGATAAAGAAAAATTGGATATCAAATTGGGGAGGGAGTATGGAAGAAGTGAACGTTTTCAGATATTTGGGACTTGACGTGTAAGCAGATGGATTTATGAAGGATGAGGTTAATCATAGAATTGATGAAGGAAAAAAGGCAAGTGGTGCATTGAGGTATATGTGGAGACAAAAAACGTTATCTATGGAGGCACAGAAGGGAAATGTATGAAAGTATAATAGTACCAATGCTCTGATATGGGTGTGAAGCTTGGGTTGTAAATGCTGCAGCGAGGAGGCGGTTGGAGGCAGTGGAGATGCCCTGTTTAAGGGCAATGTGTGGTGTGAATATTATGCAGAAAATTCAGAGTGGTAATTAGGAGAAGGTGTGGAGTTAATAAAATTATTAGTCAGAAGGCTGAAGAGGGGTTGTTGAGGTGGTTTAGTCATTTAGAGAGAATGCATCAAAGTAGAATGACATGGAGAGCGTATAAATCTGTAGGAGAAGGAAGGCGGGGTAGGGGTCGTCCTCGAAAAGGTTGGAGGGAGGGGGTAAAGGAGGTTTTGTGGGCGAAGGGTTTGGACTTCCAGCAAGCGTGCGTGAGCGTGTTAGATAGGAGTGAATGGAGACGAATGGTATTTGGGATCTGACGAGCTGTTGGAGTGTGAGCAGGGTAATATTTAGTGAAGGGATTCAGGGAAACCGGTTTTTATATAGCCGGACTTGAGTCCTGGACTCAAGTCCGGTTATATAAAATAACACTTGCAACATCTGCCACATTGCTTCCCTATCCACTCTATCATATGCCTTTTCTAAATCCATAAATGCAATAAAAACTTCCCTATCTTTATCTAAATACTGTTCACATATATGCATCGATGTAAACACTTGATCTACACATCCCCTACCCACTCTAAAACCTCCTTGCTCATCCGCAATTCTACATTCTGTCTTACCTCTAATTCTTTCAAAAATAACCCTACCGTACACTTTTCCTGGTATACTCTGTAAACTTATTCCTCCATAATTTTTACAATCTCTTTTGTCCCCCTTCCAATCCTTAGGTACCTTCCCCTCTTTCATACATTTATTAAACAAAAATACCAACCACTCCAACACTATATCCCCCCCTGCTTTTAACATTTCTGTCATGATCTCATCAGTTCCAGCTGCTTTACACTCTTTACAAGGGCTGTATCTGGATGCTGGTTAAGGGCTTTTGAGCTAGTAAATTGGAGGTACCATTTTCCTAGGATCAAACCTGATAACATCCCATTTCTTAGGTATTTTATGTTCCCTACGGCTTAGCGCTTCCAAGTGACTGTATTTCATCTGTTGGTACAGCGCATAATTCCAAATTTTGCCAGAATCCTTCAATTTATGAAGTATCAAATTTGGCGCAGATACCCTTTAAAGTATCGTCTTTCATGTGAGGATGGATGCCAAGAATAATCTCAAGGTTAAAGAGTGAAACTTTTAGGCTGAAGTGGACAACTATTTTGATTACATTTTATAAATAAAAAGGATCGAGAGGCGAACACTGTTTTTGTGATAGTGCACATCTGAAGAGTGCAGATCTTACAATGCTAGGTTTAGCTAGGAGTTTATTATTACGAAGCTGTATTGCGCACTCACGTGCTGATTTATGTCCTTAGTGTCTGTCCAGTTCAGTGGAACATCAAACATTTTACAAAATCATTACTTGGGAATATATGGCTTGAAGATGCCAGGCTCTGGATGGTTAATTTGTTTTGTTCTAGTTCATTAACCAAAGACTTATTTTTGGCTCTCTCCAGTTTAACCTTCGAAAAATTTAGATACAAAGCAGTATACTACTAAACTTACTATGATACTAACTTACTATGATACTAACATTTTTATGCTATAACTACCATGTAACGGTTTATTGTAACCTTTCAGGATCTATAGCCATTGGAACATTGCTTATGCTTTTGAAGTAGCAAAATTTGTAGCAATTGAATCATAACCATAACATGTTTTTCGCATTAGCCGGACGCAGTTTTTTTTTTAATCACAGAAGTCTTTGACGGTAAACAAATTTGCCAATCTCTCTGACCTTGGCTGCAAGAAGAGGCCTTGAATAAGTTCGCATTGTGTGACGCCCTTACATTATTATTATAATCAAGGGGGAAGCGCTAAACCCGGAGGATTATACAGCGCCTGGGGGGGGGGATGTGGAAGGCATTCAGGCTTAATTCGGGGAACTGGAGCACAGATCCAATTCCCTAAATCAAGAGCCCCTCACCAACATCAAGGAACCTTCCTTGAGGGGACGCCCTTACAGCAATAGAAAGAAGCCACCACCAAAATAAAGCATGTACTCTTACATAGGTTGTGGATGTAGCATCTTTATCCTATACGTTTCGGCCCCGGGACCTTGGTCACTCCAAATGTTACAAAATAGCAGAGGCGTCGTAAGGGGGAGGCGGGCGGTCCGCCCCGGGTGACACCATAGAGCCTCTAAAGAAGGTAACACTAATGACCAAAACCATGCTGCAGCAACCTAAGAGAAAAATTCTTCGTTTCTATATAGCCTATTATAGGATTACATAGTACAAATAGGCCTATATAGGGAGAATCATTGATTTTGATGATGTGATAGATGATTTTGCAGGATTAAAGGCAAGGAAATGAAATATCAGATTCTTTGAGATGTTACCTGTGCTCAAGGTTAAATCGGAACTAGTGTTTTTCTTAATTTTTCAAGTTTTTTTTTTCATTGTTGAAGATGAATAAATGTAGGATCTGTTGCCTGTACTCAAAGTGGTATTTGAGTTTGTGTTTCCTCAGTATTACTACGATTATTTATTTTATGATTAATGAAGTTCGGTTTATGGCCCTTAAACGTTCTTATTGCTAAACATTAGTCACTGGTCATGCAGCAGTGATGTAACTGGAGTTTACTACCCCTATCCCCCCGCCCTTGGATTTCATGGGGGTTACACCAAAGATGTCACCCCGGGTGACACCAGCCCTAGCGATGCCTTTGCAAAATAGAACATGTCACTGATGAAGGTCAGGTGAAGGCTAACGTCAGGTTATCTAAAATAGCCTTGTTACTTGGCAGTAGTAAATCATCGTCTAGCAGTAAATCAGCATGTAGTAGTATATGTGCAAGAGTAATTGAGATGAATAAATAACAAAAAGGCACAATACCGTGACTGGAACGATACACAAATAACCCGCACATAAAAGAGAAGCTCCTCTTTTATGTGCGGATTATTTGTGTATGTAATTGAGATGATGTATTTGGCAGCTCTTAGTTATATGGTGTAAGTACCAACTAGGGATACTTTAATACAGTGGCTCCTATTAGAGTTTGATTCTCTGTAGATCAGTTCTACCTTGTTTGAGTGTATGAGATGCTCTCTCTCTAAATGTGCAAAACACGAGCATTGCTGGTGTAGTCCCGGTTGTACGCATTTCTGTTCTCGGACCCGTGTGGAAAGATTCCTTCATGTTTCTCCCATATAGGTGTTGCTATACCCTCCGCCTGGTATAGCGTATACTTCTGCTTCACTGTTGGGTTTGTCACAGGAAACTTTCTACAATCCTGGTGAGGTCTCTGATGGCAGACGTGGTCATGGTAGCTACGTGGATGTTGCTTCTTGATTATTATCAAAATGAAGCGCTAAATCCATTAGGGTCATACAGTGCTGCAGGGCAGGGGATGTTGCAGGATCATAGTATAGAAAGGTTGGAGAGGATAGAGGTAGAGTTAGAAAGGGCTGTGAGGAGTGCTAAAGGCAGTTTGTTGCTTCATGAAAGGGCCTTTGTGGTGTTGGCTAGCTGCAGTGAGGGCGCTGGAATCTCCAGCGGGTTAGGTACTTTGGTGGGTCGTCATGACTGTCTTAAGGTGTCATTTGTAATTTAGTGCAGTGGCGAAGATTCTTATTATATACACTCGGTTAAGTTCTGTAGCGAGTTTTTACTAATAAATATTAACATATTACAGTCGCCTGTTACAGTTTCTAGTGACGTAGTTGATTGTGTACCTTTATTATTAGAGGCAGTCGGATTCGATCCAAGGAATGAGCAGCTCCAATTCTTTGGATCAAGAACCCTTCACCCCCTCCAATTCTCCCTCTGCCATGTATCGCCTTAAAAGCTCTGATACGAGGCTGAGTGACCCCTATGGGTTTGGTGCCTCCCACTAAAATTAATATACTGTTTAGTGAAAAAAATTGCACAATGTTTTTTCTCATTTTTATTATGCCGGTGAGGCTCGGGATCCAAGGGATTGGACCATTCCACCCTCATAATTATTATTATAATAAAAAAGAAGCGCTCCCACCCTCATAAGGGTTTAGCACTTCACGCATTATACAGGTAAATATATTTATATTATATAACTTTCATAATTTTTTTATATACATTTCATACATATGTAAAACTTGCCACCAGAGGATTGATTATAAAAAAGAAGCGCTAAACCCACTAGGGTCACGAGATGACAACACGGGGCTATGTAGGTGGCCCGTGCCATGGTGGCTAAAGCTCTCGCACCCCGTGTGATTTAGCGCTTCTTTTTTATAATAAAGCTCTCGCTTCACTCGGCGAGGGTCTGGGTTCGATTCCCTTCGAGGGTAGAAACATTGAGCGTGTTTCTTTACACTGGTTGTCTATGTTAACCAGTCAGTAAAATGAGTACCTGGGTGTTAGTCGACTGGTGCGAGTCGCATCCTGGGACAAAACTGACCTAATTTGCCCAAAATGCTCTGCATAACAAGCAGCTGTCTATATAGTAGTACGTCATTGATGTCAGCTAGGACTGTATACCTTGTACTTGTAGTAAATAAAGATATTAGATTATGATTGTAGTCAACACCATGTGTTTCCTCCGTGAGCGCCACCGGATGCTTCAAGTACTCAAGACTTGCCAATATATCCGTAGGATATATTGGCAGGTCTGGGGTACTTGAAGAGAAAAAAACGAGAATAAACCACTGTACAGAAGGGATCTTAATCCATGACGAGCGAGTCTTAAAACTCCATGCTAGTGCATAAGCCACTTGGTCGTAGGTTCAAGCCCCACCCGTACCGTGGTTTGTTTGCAATCGTATTACGATTTCGCAAGTCAAAAAGGATTATAATCATGACTTGCAGTGCTGCATGAACCTTAAGAGCCATACAGCTCTGCAAGTCACAAAGAATGACTGACACAATCCACAATCTTCAAAGATGCAAATTTAACAAGCAAAAACCCCGGCCACTCAAGCGAAACATATTTTTATTATTAAAACTGGAGACAGCAGCATGCTGCTGTAAACTAAAAGGAGTATGTGAGAGGGACAGCAGTGATGAATTACTTTTGCAACACTTGGGTCTCTATTGTAGAAAAGTTTCTCCAACCAGTGGCTTCCTCAGTCCGTAACAGACTACCTCAAACTAGGTTTTGGTTCTCGATCTTTATTGATAGAACTTCAACTACCTCCTCATTTGTGGTGTTCAGCAACTCCGTGCAGATGAGGCTCTTTGACATACAGGCCAACCCCCCCTTGTTGCCTGTTCTTTGTCGCATCTAAAAAGGTTGTAACCACTTATCCATATTTCACTGTCAACGTGATCTTTTGTGCGAGTCTCTGTGAAGGCTGCAAACATTGCATTAGACTCCTCTAGAAGTCCACTGATAAAAGGTATTTTGTTGTTGGTGGATGGCTTAAGATCTTGTATATTGGCAAATATGAATGAGGTTTTATTCTGTGTTTGTTGGGGGGATTTTGTTATTGGCATCAGTAGTTGTAGTTCTGGAGGGCCATGGGTGGCCACTGGCTGCGCCTTCAATCCAACAAGGCTCCAAGGTGGTGGACTATCCCAAACCATACCCCGGCCGGGATTGAACCCGCGGTCAGTCTCAAAACTCTAGCCCGTCGCGTTAGCCACTAGACCAGCTAGCCACAATAAGATTCGTCCAACTAGGTATATTTATACACCATAAGAAGGTTAGCACAGGCACCACTGACCACAAATGCAAGTTTTTACAGACGAATCTCCAGCTAGCGTGGCCGTGACGAACTCTAGCTCAAGTCCCTTCACTGCCGTCAACATGACTCACGAAATCGTAATGACACGATTGCAAACCATACCCTGGCCGGGATTGAACCCGCGGTCAGAGTCTCAAACTCCAGCCCGTTGGACGAATCTTATTGTGGCTAGCTGGTCTAGTGGCTAACGAGACGGGCTGGAGTTTTGAGACTCTCTGACCGCGGGTTCAATCCCGGCCGGGGTATGGTTTGTTTGCAATCGTGTCATTACGATTTCGTGAGTCGAGTTGTGGTGGACTATTTTTTTTATTTCCTTCCATTTCCTTTTTTCGTTTCCTGCCACTAAAAAAATCACCTGGAGTTGGGTTGTCGTAGCTACTATTGTTTGTCTTGTGGGGTCTGTGCCTCCTGGTCCCTTTTAGATGGTATGCAGGGCAGTCGATGTTGTAACACTGCTTCTGGAGGACCGAGGAGTGACACACTTTTGGGTGAAAGAAAGTACATGAAGAACGACACGCTGCTTTAGAGAGGAGGTCGCTACATTTTTTGGGATGCTCAAAGTTGCACGTCCTATTTTTTTTCCTGATATTCCATGCTTACAAATGCCCCAAGCATAATATTTGCACAAATTCACCTTTGGTTGAGAATTGTTGGGAGGTGTGTTGTCAATACACAACCCGCACATAAAAGAGAAGCTTACGACGACGTTTCGGTCCGACTTGGACCATTTACAAAGTCACACTAACCAGAAATGGAGCAGGACGGCTATATATAAGCAGGAAGAGGTGGTGGTAGTAGTAGTAGTAGTACAAGAATGGTATATAATACCGACAAGATGAAATTAAGACATGCGCAACACCCGGGCATCCCCATCCAGCCAGCCACTGGATGGCGAAACGTCGACAACATACACACCCAGACGCCGCACATGTGTCTCAATTTCATCAGTAGTGGTGAATGAGGAGGACGAGCCAGTCCAAAACAAAGGAAGGGGAGCACTGCAGGTTCTGGGACTGCACTATAATCCTCAGCATCCAAGCCAAGGCCACCCCGTCCTGGATTCTATCTACTTTCCTCAGTAGAGGAAGGAGACTCCTCTCCTACATCTGTACTGTGGGCCACGGTCTTGCGAGTGAAAAACAAATATTGATGGCATAAACCTTGGTAATAAACACCGATAAGTTAAGCAAACACTAGAACATATTTATTAGAAAACGTTTCGGTCCTGAGATCTTGATCACTTCTAACAGAGGTTGAAAGACAGTATATATAGGTGGAGAGTGAGGTGTGAGTGACGTATGGTGACCTGAAGAATGACATGTTGGGATGAGGACGGGTAGACGATGTGATCATGTGACTCCATGTATTGTGTTGCTGGGTAGGTGCTGCTTTGGTTTAGAAAGACACGTAAGCAAACACTAACATATTTATTAGAAAACGTTTCGGTCCTGGGACCTTGATCACCTTGAAGTGATCAAGGTCCCAGGACCGAAACGTTTTCTAATATGTTATAGTGTTTGCTTACGTGTCTTTCTAAACCAACTTGTCGGTATTTATTACCAAGGTTCATACCATCAGGTGCTGCTTTGCCTGGTTGAGTATCACGTATGCTAATGTAGAAATTTTGTGGTTTCCAGTGTTGCGTTGTTGTGTCAGTGACACAGATTAGCGAGGCTTCTAGACACCGTCGGCGTCTAAGGTCTTGTTCGGTGAGAACGATGCCTCATCCCAGTTCATCAAATGTCCTGTGGAGTCTCTGTGGAGGACACAGGCTACCTTAAGTCGTCTCTGTTACTGGCATTTCGATGCTCGTTCAGACGGACCGCAAGATCTCTTCCTTTTCCACCTACATATTTCTTGGGACAGAATCCAGAGGATGGTGTAGAGTCGTAGACGCCTGCTGTGGAAGTTAAGAGGTGTGGGGCTGTGTTTCGTAGTGAGGTCATCTATCAAAGACATTATTTACTACGAAACGCAGCCGTGGCTCTGACACCCCCTCTCCCTTCTGCAGGTCTGGAGTTTAGAGACTCTGATCGAGGGTTCTATCCCCGCCCGTGGTATGCTTTGTACAAGTACTTTCCCAAAAAAAACAGACCTCTGCACACTACGGCCTTACAGGTAAACATGAGAGCACTTAAACCAATAAACTAACCTATGGTATAAACTTACAAAAACAAAAATTTCACTTACACATCTTGCTACATCTGCTGTGCTTCACCTACTGAACTAAACGCACCTCACTCTCCCTTCTGCTGGCCACTCTGACCAGGAATAATTCACGTCTGGTTTCTGTACAAATCCCGGAACTATGGAGCAATTTTTATACAATATTTGTAACTGCATAACAAATACACCGTAATAAAATACTAATTGTGTCATTAAGGATACATGTATATTGATCAGTTAAAGAATTTCCAAAATAGCGATTTATATGTATAAATTAAGAAAGGTATGTACAAGTATATGTGCGCGCGCGCGCAGTATATGTATGTGTCTTTACAAAGAAATGGTGAAATGCAAAATATTAAAGTGACCTGGTAGGCAACGCTCTCTCGCCTGACACACTGTCCGTGGTTCGATCCCCGGCAAGGGTGGAAACTTTGAACGTGTTTCCTTTCAACTGCTGTCCCTGTTCACCTAGCAAGCAAGCAGGTACCTGGGTGTTAGTCGACTGGTGTGGGTGGCATCCTGGGCAACTAGACTGAAGGGTCCCAGTGGTAATAAGACAGAGTCCATCGATGACGCACTACCTTTCTTGGGTTATCCTGGGTGGCTAACCCTCCGGGGCTGAAAATCCGAACAAAATCTTTTATCTTAAAAGCAGACTCGGGCGAAGGGGAGGGGATGTACACTGTTCCCCGACTTTGAGTCCCGGTCAGATTAGTGTCTTTTTCCAGCTAGTCTGGTTTTCCAAGGTTATGCATGAAATATAATATTTTGCAATGGAGCTTGTAGCTCAATGGTAGCGCATTCTCCTGTTTCCTGAACCTACCCTAACCTAACCTTCAGGGACTGATTACCTGATCTTTTGTACCATGTCTAGCTATAACACTGTACTGTCTACCATGTACCACTGTCCCATGTACTAATATTGTACCACTAACATATACTAACATTGTACCACTAACATATACTAACACTGTACCATGTATCATGTATCACTGTTACAATATGCCATGTACTAACATTGTACCACTGTTCCATATATTAACACTACCACTAACAATGTACCGTGTACCACTAATATACCATGCACCACTGTACCATATACTATTACATTGTACCACTGTACCATGTACAAACATTGTACCACTGTACCATATACTAACACTGTACCATGTACCACTAACATTGTACCATGTACCAATGTATCATGTACCACTGTAGCAATGTACCATATATCACTGTACCATGTACTAGCATTGTACCACTGCACTACATATTACTAACATTGTACCATGTACCACTGGACCATATACTAACATTGTACCATATACTAACATTGTACCATGTACCACTAACAATGTACTATGTACCACTGTAACAATGTACCATGTATCACTGTAACAATGTACCATGTACCACGGTACAGTGTCACATAGTACCCACAGTGCACCACCAACAGTCAGTATATTATACCATCATCGCTATTTTTTTTTTTATGGTAATATTTTATGATTGTTGTCTTTATGATGGTTCAAGACTCTCCCGAAACTATTATAACTTTTATTCCATTTTATTGGCTATTTTTAATAATAAAATAATAATATAAATAATGAAAATATCCTTACATGATCAATTCCTCGAAAAATAAAAAGATTCTTGTAATAA